ACCGAGAGCTTTCATCTCTGCAGAAAGACCAGATTGTGAAGTTGATCAAGGAATTCGTAGAGTGTTTTTCCTCTTCATCGAAAGTCGGACGTACTCCTGTAGCAAAGCACCGCATTGTAATCGAATGGCATGTTAGACCAATATGTCAGCATCCATACCGAGTTGCTCTGAAAGAAAGGGATGCGATAAACAAGCAAGTACAGGAAATGCTCGAAGACGATGTCATACAGCCCCCCAAAAGCCCATGGGCATCGCCGGTAGTATTGGTGAAGAAGAAGGACAACACCATGCGGTTCTGTGTTGATTACAGAAAACTCAACCTCGTCACGAAGCGGGACGTGTAACCACTCACTCCCACGAGTCAACGATGCGTTGGATAAACGGCGCAATGCTCACTTTTTTTCATCGTTGGACCTAAAGAGTGGGTACTGGCAAATATAAGTCCACGAACGAGATCGTGAGAAGACGACGTTTGTGACACCCGAAGGACTCTACGAGTTCAAAGTACTCCTACTTGCTTTGTGTTCTGCTCCCGCTACCTTCCAGAGGATGATGGACACTGTGCTTTCCGGCCTCAAATGGCAGTCATGCCTTGTTTATCTTGATGACGTAGTAATTTTTCCATTACGTTCGAGCAACACGTACAGAGATTGAGAACGGTACTGGACGCTATTCGCATGGCTGCACTTGCGATCAAACCCGAAAAGTGCCACTTTGGATTCTGGGAGCTTCGGTTCCTCGGGCACATTGTCAGTTCTCACGGTGTCCGCCCACACCCAGATAAGATCACTGCGGTTAAAATTCCCAAGGCCAAGAGACAAAAAAGCTATGCGACGTTTCCTGGGGCTTTGTGCCTACTATAGGCGCTTCGTTGAAAACTTCTGCAAGATGGCGGAACCACTGACACGGCTTACGAAGGAAGGTGTGCCATTCATATGGCACCAAGAGCAAGACAACGCCTTCTCTGAGTTACGACGGCGTTTGCAGTCACCTCCCATACTCGCTCATTTTGATGAAGATGCCAAAACAGACATTCATACGGACGCCAGCAACGTTGGCCTTGGTGATATTCTTGTTCAGTGGCAGAACGGGGAAGAAAAAGTTATTGCTTATGCAAGCCGCACTCTGTCGAAAGCTGAGTATAATTATTCAGCTACGGAAAAGGAATGTCTCGCAGTGATATGGGCTATCAGTAAGTTCCGTCCATATTTATACGGTAGACCATTCCGAGCCATCAGTGACCATCATTCATTGTGCTGGCTTGCGAACCTCAAGGATCCTTCCGGAAGACTTGCTAGATGGAGCCTGCGTCTAGAAGAATATGACATCACCGTAGTCTACAAGTCAGGCCACAAGCACAATGACGCGGTTTGCTTGTCACGAGCACCAGTCCAGACCTCGTCTCCTGAGCATGAACAAGACTCCGCATTTTTTGGAGCTGTGAATGTGTCAAAGATGGCTCATGATCAGCGAATGGACCCAGAATTACTTCTGCTCATTCAATACTTAGAGGGGCAGCAAGGCGAAGTTCCACGAGTTTTCATCCGTGGACTACGTTCCTACGTCCTCCACGACAACGTTCTCTACAAGAGAAACTTTCAACACACCGGTGAAACGTTCCTACTGCTGATACCATCATCACTGCGAGCGTAAATTTTAGAAGCGTGTCATGATGACCCATCGGCAGTTCACTTGGGCATTAGTAGGACTTTGGCGAGAATCCGCCAGAGATATTACTGGCCAAAACTGATCGATTCAGTACAGCATTACGTAAGATCATGCCGATAATGCCAAAGACGCAAAGTACCACCCCTGAAGCCAGCAGGTCTTTTGAAACCGATAGAGCCACCGAAAGTTCCATTTGAGCAGGTCGGAATGAATTTGCTAGGACCATTTCCTATGCCATCGTTCGGGAAGCGCTGGATAGTTGTAGCAACCGACTACATGACCCGGTATGCCGAGACGTCATCTCTCACAAAAGGAACGGCAAATGAAGTGGCTCAGTTTTTTGTGACCCAGATAGTGCTGCGACATGGCGCACCTAAAGTCCTTATAACTGACAAAGGAACTGCGTTCACTGCCAGGCTATGGTACAGTCTGTCATGAAACTAACACACACCGACCACAGAAGAACTACCGCATACCATCCGCAAACTAACGGGTTAACTGAAATACTGAACAGCTAGGACGCTTGCTGACAAGATCGCGATGTATGTGGACGTCGAGAATCGGACTTGGGACACCATATTACCGTATGCTACATTTGCATACAATACCGCAGTACAAGAGACAACCCACTTCACGCCATTTCAACTTGTTTATGGTCGGACAGTAATAACGACATTAGACGCGATGCTGCCTGTCAACAGCACGAATGAAGAGGACCCTGACATAAGCGAATATGTAGAAAGGGCTGAAGAGGCGCAACAACTAGCACGGAAACGCATCATTCAACAGCAGGACGTCTTCTCAGGACCAAATAAAGTTATTTGACTGACTGACTGACTGTTAAAATTTAAGACGAAGGGACGTTCAGTCCTCCCCTGGATACCAAGTGTGGGTCTGGACGCCTGTACGTGCACGTGGCCTATCAGAAAAGCTTATGCGGCGCTATTTTGGCCCTTACAGGGTTCTTCGTCAGCTAGGCCCATTAAACTACGAAGTGATCCCTGAAGGTCAAGTATGCACAACACGACGCCGGAATCTCCCGGAAGTTGTACATGTAGTACGGATGAAACCGTACTACGACAGGAACTGAACAAGTGAAGTGACTCACGTCCTCTAACACAAGGACAAGTCCTATTGTTTAGAAAATGTCAGCCGGCTCTACGCATCGGGGCGATGCGTGCTAGGAGGGGGACTAATGCCACAGCTCGACCATCGCAGAAGACGCGTGCCACAATTCGGGTTCGTAAAAGCCGCCACACAAGTAGCAAGAAAGCCGCGCCATGGAACGCCGTCCTGCACGCGCCACGATGCTACGCCACGGCACCGGCACGAGACTCGAGGGGCAGATGAAGAGACCGACGAAGTTCGAGTCATCGAGCATGAGACATTTTGGCTGACCATTTTTAGTTTTGAGTTTACGGGCACAAGTTCGCCCTAAATAAAGAGTTTATTTAGTACCAGGTGCTATATTATTGGTAACAATATTTTTCATACATAGCATCTGTTTTATGTTATGCATGCATGACCTATTCGTTATGATGCTCGACATATATTAACTGCTAGAACATAATGCACTTAGTCTTTTTAGTGCTCAGTAGTCATGCTATAAGATGCGCAGCCAGGAGAGTAAGGGATCAATCCCCCCCCCCCCCCTCGAACGATATTCTAATTTCGCACGTGTAAATATACAAATGCAAATAAAAACGCACGCACCAACACAGATGACGTTTAACTAACCACTCCTCCCCCCTTATCATTCAAAAAATGAAATTTCCGGCTACAATATTGCGTGGTAGTGCACGCTATGCACACTCTGGTATATATGCGAATGTGATGAAATAAATAGCATGACACCGCGACGTCATTTTGTCACTTATGTAATAAGATGTCATTAATAATTTTGCAAACTCATGTTAAAACATACAGATTCTTAATTATATATGCCAAGTTAAAGAAACGATCAGACATACAGGGAAGCCCGATGAAGAGATACGGTTAAAGTGTCTTTGGATTACTAAGGAATGTCTCGCATTTATTATTATCCATAGGAAGAATGTGATCCTCAAGATTACCTTTCTTTATTCATTATTACATTAAGCTGCGCTTGTGTAATGTGTAGGTATGTCTTTACATTCTTTTCTTTTGTGCTTGTTCCACAACTCTCCTGCCTTCACGCTACGCTGCTGTGTACATTCAGGCGACCAAAAAAAAGAACAAAAAGACTTATTTTGGTTGCATTCAGTGTGAAATCTGCAGAAACAGCGGAGATTCGCTTCTCCTGTGTTTCCCTTGCTATTTTCTGTATTTTCTATGATGTTTGGTATTTCGCGCAAAAATCTTTGATTACGTTATTTGTAGAGTACAGATGGACGGAAAAGACACATGGGAGCCCTTGCCACACTTTCCCCTGTCACAGGGAGTAGCGCGATTGAGCCGCCGGCCCATGTATCACTGTGCGGCCAACACTTCATCGGCGACAGAGGCAGTTGCGTCATATGAGCGTATCTGAGTATCACAGCCTAACATTGTCACACGGACACTCATTCGTCGTCCAACTCAACAGCTTTCGCCCACCGAAAATCTCGGAAACATGCACTTTTCTGGTGGTGCGCACAGGTCAAATGGCGTTGATCTGATATTCTGAAGGCTACGTTATTTATAAAATAAAAGACAGTTGTTTTTCATGGAATAGCATACAGAGTTGAGTTTCGGCGACAACATTCAATAAAGTTTGCTTTGTAAACAAGGCTAACTAATTAAAACTAGTATCACAAGGACGCTGTTTGAGCACCATTGGACCCGAAAAAGTTGCTACGTTAAACTTGTTGAGCGTGCGGAGAAAATGTTTGTCTTTCAAGCGTCAACAGCTCATCATGCCTCTAGTAAGATGGCAGCCGCCAAATTACGGTGGGTACGGCGTAACTCCTGCACAATACTTTCCGCTCCAGCAATTCTTTTAAACCTCATTGGTCGAACCAAGCCCTAGAATAGCTCCTGTATTAAAACGAAAGCAATGACAGCCTGTCACCCTTCTTCCATAGGCTGCACGGTTTCTCCTTCCTTTTGCTCTCCTGAAGTGCAAAGACTGGTGCGCTGCTAGCACAAGCCTAAAACGGCCGCACTAGACACTATTTCAGGACGAAAATGTACTGTTTTATGCACTTGCTTGATTAAACGAAGCAAAAATTAAAAATAAAAATATAAAATAACGTAGGTGCTGTCTAATGAGAAACAGTGTCAAACAGTGCTGTCCAATTGAAAAAGAAAGACTGCAAAAAAAAAACGAGGAAAATGGCTAACAGTGCTGTCCAATGGCAAGCAACACTGATAGATCTTGCAGGCAGCATTGCTGGAAATACCTAACATTTAATGAGTAACAACACGTCAGTGCACGGCCCGTACAACCGTGGCATGAGCGCTATATAATACGCGAGGAATTCGGCGCAAGCCGCGCTTTGGTCCCTTTTCCGAGGAAGAGCACGATTGGCACATCGTCCTTCGAAGCGACAACGTTGATTCGACAACAGGTGGCGACGTCGTTCTTTTCCGTTCAAGCAACACGCACTTTCGCCACTGAGCACCTCGTACTATACACGCATCGCAACGAGCACTGTCCCCTCGACGTTCGTCGTCGCCGTTGCTGTCCGTTGTAGTCGAGGCGCGATCGAGCGTGCCATTAACCACACGCGTTAACACTCGCGAGTAGTTGGTATAGCACGCAGTTCCTGCCACACAAATGCGCCGTGAAAAAATGCACGGCGCCTTGCTGTTTCACTGTCAGTGCTTCTCTTTTCATTTCACCGGCGTTTTCTTTTCTTCTTTCACGCCCGCATTCCCGTTCCCTGAGGAATAGGGAAAAAGAAAACAGCAACATATAAGTGGTTATTCAGAAGTGTGTCACCAAGCATCCGTCGTGCTTGTTTTCGTACTAAGAACTTGAATGCCTCGGCACTTTCCACTCAGATGTTACTTGCATTGTTATCTTTCATGATGTTGCAAGCAACTGAAACGACTGGCGTGAAATTGCCGATACTGCCTTAATGAAGTACTATTCTTTTTTGTTGTTGTACAAACGAATATGTAGTGCGTGAAAACGATATGGGCTGCATTTCTCCAATATATTTTTACGCCGAAGGATGTTCATATACTTGCGAAGTTCATGATGCGAAGAGATGTTGTGAACTCGGTGGTAAGAACAGTTAAGTAAAAGCGCTCACGTGTTCGCAGCAAGCAATAAAGGATTGATACGTACATGCGTGGTAAGAGGACTAGCGGTAAATAAAGACGTCTACGTAGAGTATAACAGGTTGCTTAATATCATTGCTTGAACACATTGCTTGTTATATCATTGCATGCAGATGTATACCAACCCGCCCAAAACTACCAAACTCCTAATGGTATACCATTTAGAGTTTGGTAGTTTTGGGCGGGTCGCCTAAGTACAGTGCATCCGTCATGACCCGGTGGCGCAACGGTAGCGCGTCTGACTCCAGTACAGTGAGTCCATGCTTTACGGCAAATGTCTGTATGATATCTGAGGGAAGTAGCAAGTGAACGTACGTCTAGCTTAACAACTCTAATAAGGTCTGCATCATAGATTTATGTTCGACACTATAACATCCTATAGCGGGAAGCATCTTAACTGCTCACTTACAGCAGACAGATAGTGTGCACTGAAGGTGAGAGCAATGTCTATTGATTACGACGCCATCGGTCACTGCATATTCGCGATGACCCAGTCGACGGACATGGACACTTGGTGGTAGATGCCCGGCTGGAACGATTGCGCGCATCCAAATCCTGCTGATGTAATTCCGACGAGTGTCCACCGACCGTTCAAGTTCAGCATCATCGGTCCGCCAGAATCACCCTGAAAAGACAATATGGGCCAACTAGTTAGGTACATGAATATATACGAATGTATCGGCGTCTACGAGCAGTGGGTGACATTCTCGAGCTATCATGTCCATAGATCGATCACTTTCATGACATTTCGCGTGAAACGTGTCTGATTCGCTGACATCTGCTGTTACCGGCATACTTCACGCGGTGTCATGCCGGCGCACTTGGCACCAAAATTGTACTGTGTCATGCAAGCATCCTCGGTATCACAGGTATCGTGTGGCTACTCTGGAATTGAGATGATTCGGGAATCATTCCCCATTGTGAATACCTCCAACGGAATGACACTATATATACGATAGACCGTAGTGTGTGTATGTGTGTGTGTGTGTGGGGGGGGGGGGTTCCTGCATTCCCTGTAAAGCTGGGGACCAAAGGTTGATCGTTGTAAGCAGCACGTCATTTTATCCCGAAAGTGTTTTATGCCGCTGTTTGCCAAGACTTCACTCACGTGTTTTTCGTCATGGAAGTGGTACCGGTAGAGTGGGCAAACGGATGACAAAGGAAAAGCTTTGTTCTTTCGGATGACCTGGCAGTTCACGGCCTCCTGGCCCGCGAGAATACGTGTCGGACGCTCTACTTACTGTGATACCAAAGCCCACGCATGAGGCTTCATAAACATGCCTTATGTATACCTTAAGCTGCCAATCACTACTGTGGTAAACTTGACCACCCGAAGTGACTGGCCGATGCCCCAAACGTCCGACCCCATCCGCAGCACCCACCAATATTGCAAGGTTCAGCGTCCATACTTGTGCGATTGTCAATTAAAAAGCAATTATGGCGCATATCTGAGGCACCATAACAACACGTCAATATTTTGTATGTATATCTTTTACTAGACAAGGCATACATAAGCAATTCTAAGGACCGTAGCGTTTATCAAGTTGCGCTGACCATTATTACGAAGCGTGCCTCCGACGACGTTACGAAGGGCGCCACGAATCTCACCACTGCCACCACTGTTACGAAAGACGGCGACGCCAACACGGTCCCGAAGGCGCCACTCCTTCGAACTCCGCCGGGAAGGTCACCAGCCGTTTGGTAGCGTAGGTTTCTCAGCTCGCAACTGCTTCTACGCAGAGCTGATAGACGAGCGGACGAGACGACGGTGAGTTAAACAAGGTTTATGTACAGCGTATATACAGAGGCATTACAAATTCGGCACTGGGGCCGACAGCTTAGAGACTCGAAAAGCCGAGCTCTCTCCTCTGACACATGTGTCTACTCCTCACGACGCGCCGCATGGATTTTTTTAATGCTCCGGGAGGATTCTTTAAGTAACAAAGTGTCCAACCAGAAGCGCCGCTGGCCGTGAGGTCAGAATCCTCCAATGGGGTCGCCGCTGGGCCGCGTCATTCTCATCGAATTCGGAGCCGCTGCACGTGGTTGCAGCCAAGGACGAGTGACGTCGCCACGCATTGCGTCAGACTCGCCAGACAGGAAGGCGCCGATTGCTTCGACGGGCTCGTGGGCTGAGGGAGCTCGATGTGTGTTGCGGCACAGATCGGCGCCGCCGCGTGATGACGCCGTTGAGTTGTTCGCGTCAGGCGGGCTCGCGTGCTGGCCTTGACACAAATTGCTTTTTTCGGAGGCATGGACGTTGGGTGTGGACTCTCAGGCATAAGAGATTGTGGTTATATCAGAAGAAAAGAAAAGAAAGGTGCCGACCCGTAACTGTCTCTCCTTACGAGGACACCTCAACAGGTCAGCAGAGGAATGGGATATGGGGAATAAAAGATATAGAGAGAAGGAATAAAAGAATAGAAGGAAATAGATGGATAAGAAGCCGCCAGCCAGCGAGAGGAAAAAAGAAGGAGATAGGAAAGTGGAGATCCGGTCGAAGCAGTCCAAGGGCGGGGTGCCACAATGCGAGAGCTGCACGGCATCAGGAGACCGCGGAGGGCGAACCAGTCGGCGGGAGCTACGCTGAAGTCGGAGATCGCGAGGGCACAACCGTCCAGCTTGAAATCCTCCGAGCGAAATCCTCAGGCATAACACCATGCAACACTTGCACGAAAGGCAAGTGTTTCCAACGCTTTGCTAAGACGACACGGGGGCGGCACCTATCCGTCGCCTTGGTTTCTACACCTTATCTCACCTCCAAGACGGGCGCGCACGCCGCGTGCGCCCTTCGTTTTTTAAGATAACCGCCTGATGGCGCTCATGTCTCACGTGTGACGTGACTTGATGCGCACGTTCGCCTCCGCTGCACGCTCAAAGCATTCTAACGCAGCGCCTCCAGAATACCATTCACTAATTTTCTTGCGCAGGACATCAAATAAACGTTTTGTTCCCTCTGTCCAGATGCAAGACTATCGTCTTTCGACGACATTTGCAGTGTAACATGCAGATACCGGGCCAATTTTTTTCTTGCGTTTTCATGTATATAGATACGTATACATATACAATGCATGACATCGACGCCGATGTCCACGTCGACGCCGGTGGTGAACTCGAGCCGAGAGTGTCCATATAATTGCTAATGCAATAAAAACAGCGCCAAAAACGGAGGACAAGAAAAAGGGGACAGACAGCGGCACTGTGCCGCTGCCTACCTCATTTTTCTTGTCCTCCGTGTTTGGTGCTGTTTTTATGTGAATAAAGCATTACCGCAAGGCATATTACCGGTTTAACGCAGTTTTTCAGATTTGTCGCTCGTACTTACTTTATGCCCCGACGATGTTTCCGTAAGAATAAGGAAGTTCCTTTCGCCTCAGCGTTTTACGGTAAAGAACCCAAGGGCCATGGTAGATATTTCCGGAGCCCTCCACTATGGCCTTTCATGATCATATGGTGGTATTGGGACGTTCAACCCAACACATCAAATCACTCAATTCAAATTAGCGTTGCTTGCCAGTATAAAGAGAACAGATAAGTGTGTATCGTATACCACCGTGTGAACTTCCTTATTCCAGAGCCATTGTACTGAATTGTGTGGAGACTGCTGCAAACGCTTGAGGGAGTGCTCTTGAGCCTAATTGAGAGCAACACTCGTAAACAATACCATCATGAAATAGTGAGCTCTGAGCATTCCGCTGGAAGCTTTTTTTTTCTCACCACGCAGGCGTCCCTGCGCCCTTCCTTGTAGCCTGCGCACATCATCTCCTGGTGGATCCTGATGCGGATGCCGCGGATGTGGTGCCAGTGCTCGCACTCGCTGCGAGTTATGATGGGCACCTCCACCTTCTGCAGAACCCGCGTGCCGTAGCGGTTACCTGCGCCACGGAATAGAATGAATACAGTTTTAGCAGTTCAGTGCGCTTGCAGCAATCCAATAATTTAGTAAGGGTAAGAATCTTGTAATACTGCACTGAATACGGCAAGTCGGCATTGTGGTCGATAAAGGTTCAGCGAAGGGAGAGCAGGTGAACGATAAGTTTTTCATTTTCGCTAAACTGTGTAAACTTTTATTACGTTCGGTAGATTTTTGAACACAACTCTAAAGGCGTTCGCGACGAAACTAATGCTTTGACAAGTTCGCCAAACTCCTCTGTTGAATAAAGTTTTTCTCCTCCTCCTCCACCAGTTTCCGAATCGTTGCAGTTCACTTGCGAATCTTGTAGATATTTTAAGAAACGTGGAAATATTTGCGGATCTACCTGACGTTGGTTCCCAAGGAAAATATAGAATGGAAATTTTCTCATTTGGAAGCTTTCAAGATTTACGTATCTGGAATTGAAAACCATTTGGTCAAGCATTATATTATAAGTAGTTTGTATAGTCAGTTCACACACTATGACACTTGGATGGATTCTCAGCCTAAAAACTTGACTACACGGAATATTAAAAATTTTGACTGCCCGGTTGCGAAAAAAAAAACAGACACAAATAGGACAGTATAAACGGTGCACAGGCGTTAAATATTCGACAAATTATCATCAACTACTGTTATTTCGTGTTTTCATAGTTCTCGTATTATGGTATCCCTTGACAGGGATTGTAGGCCTGTAATTTAATTTAAGAAAACTGACATGCTCCATGTAGAATAAAGTAAGTTTTATTTTAAGGATCGCGCAAAAGAAAGAAGGAAATATCAAGTGCGCACGCACACAGATGTGAGTTACGTCGTTTATTTTTTTGTGTTTAAGTATAGTAGAACAAGGTGTATTAGGGTAAGAAAAACTAATTTTTGCCAGGACACGTCTCTTTGTCTTTACCTTGGCTCCACTGACGTTCCTTGTTTTTTCGAGCAATTTCTATGAGTGTTTCGTTAGTATGAAGTATACCACCGGACCCAGTTTCATCAATACTCTTTAGGTATCAAATGTTCTGTAATTATATCCCACCCCCCTTTTTTCGTGCAATTTATCACAGTATTTCGTTAGTCTCTAATATCATTTGACCCGCTTCACCAAAGCTCTTCATAACAGAGCAATCACCATAAAGGCGAAAGCATTAAATGCCTCGTCAAACGCGAACATTGAGGAATGGTGTCAGCACAAGTGTTGAAAAAAAAACATCATGATCCCGTGATGACCTCAGAGATAGCCAAAGCTATATAGGCAAGTCATCATGAATTCAAGGTGTGGCGATGAAAACAACAGGACAACAACAACAACAAAAAAAAAGACGCACGCTTCTTTAGCGCTGTTCCTTAAATTATGTACATACAACCGACAAGCCCAGCCATCCAAACTTTTGACTCACCATGATGTCATTCTGCATTATGAAGTCACAGCATGACGTCATTATGCGTTACATAGCCCCTCAGCCTATAGGGTGGAGTGATCACGGAGGCCATTTAATGAGACGTGAAGTGCATAGAACCTGGAATGCCTCCGATCCAGGAGACCATGCATAACTACTTAACAACAAACTTTTGGAGGTGCAGAAGACTGAGGCGCAAAAAAACATCGTGAAGCAGGAAGAACAGGAGAGAAGACAGAAAAAAAAACTTTACGCTTCCCGATATGTTTTTTGCGCCTCAGTCTTCTGCACCAAGTATGCACCAACTAGCCCAAAAACAAGTCCTTTTGGAAACTTTTGGAGATATCTAGGACTCAGTGCATCGACTGAGAAAAAGAAGGTGACTTTCTCGCTTGAATCATCTTAGGCGAAGCATAAGAAGCCCTGTGATTTTTTTTGTTGTTGTTTCGAAGCACGCGTTCGCTGGAATGCCAGAAGGCAGTGTGGGACCGCATCAGGGGCGTACTGAGCGTGGAGTCGGTCTTTCCCCAACCGGTGACCGTGGCTCGCCACCCCTCGAAGGTCCACCCGCGGGGTGGCAGGCAGATGGGCAGGATGTTCTCCTGGTAGCGCACGTGCCGGTCCAGCCTGAGCAGCGCCACGTCGAAGCGGTCCGGCTGCGACGCCGAGAAGGCGAAGTTCGGGTGGATCTTCTTCTCGAGCACGCTGTACGCCTGCGCCCGCGACAGCTGGTAGCGCTGGTCCTGGATGTCGTACGCGCCCAGGATCACCGAGATTCGCCGCAGGGGCGTGCTGCGAGAACACGAGCGCGCGCCGTGCGCGGATCAGACAGATGGGTGTGCGCGTACATATGTGACCGCTTCGATATAAGCACACACTTTGTAAATGTAGTGATTATCAGGGAAATGTATAGGTACACTCGGAAAGTCCTGAAAATGAGGCATTGACTTTTTACTGGAAACATTAACATGCATTATTATTATTATTATTATTATTATTATTATTATTATTATTATTATTATTATTATTATTATTATTATTATTATTATTATTATTTTATTATCACACAAAATATAAACAGGAGTGACGATATAGGAGGTAATTAAAGTGCCGCGTACAAGTACTCCTTGATCGAGACAAAACTTTGTCGCCTTCATTGCGAAGATGGCTCATCAAAGAGTAATTGATCAAACGGTGCTACCGATTTCAATATAGAATCTAAGAGTTCCTAATTTTGTCTAACTGGCTGCGTGCAAAAAGCAGCTGAAGGAAGCAGTCTTCTGTGTAACTATCAGGGCGCACACAATTTGAGACGTCGCTTCTTTCTCGTGTGCGAGCCTTGGAGTGAATACGGCATAAAGAACGCGCAAATGTTATTGGGAACGGGGCTCCACTGTTGGTGAAGCCAGGGACCGTCACCTGATGATTATTAGGGAACACTAAATTTCAGCGTTTGCTTATTTAACGAAGTTATTTAGATAATGGACCATTTTTTTCTTTTTTTTTTTGCGAATGTGGCTTCAGAAAGGCGTTTCTACTTCAAAATGCTTTGAGCTCAGAAGTTGACCAAGGGTCCGGCCGAAGGATTTTACGACCAATCAGTGAAGAGAGGAACCTAGAGGGTTGAGGATTTAAGTGTCTCAGTGGTGCTTGTCTGTAGCGTTTTGTTGGAAGGACCTGGTCTCTCCAGGGCGAGTGACAATGACAGAAAAAACAATCTATAGAAAATAGGAGGCGATGTTGATTGCGTGGAGAACGTAGTGATCTGTAGATCTAGGAATCAAATGGAGATAGGAAAACGACAAGGAGGTTAATTAAACAGTTCAGAACCACCGGTATACCCACACTGTGGAAAGGAATGGGGGCACTTGAATGTCAAGGACGTCGGTAGTGAATAAGGGAGCACTGACGATTTGTATTCAGGAAACGGCTATATATAAATCTATTTCCTCAGTGCGAAAAATTTATCTGATAGTCAGCACTATGCACTGTCATAGGAGTGCATTCGTAAGTTTTCTCGTTCTTTTGGCGCTGCAACATAATCAATGGATATCTGCTTGCCCAGTTTACTGTGCTACTGTATATCTCGTGCAAATCTGTCATCATTAAGGAGTTTTAACAAAGCCTTAGTCACTTTCAGCTGCGATTATTTCTGAAAGCTTGCTTATAAGAATGACATAATTGCTAGTGAAATCGGCGTATGGTCAAGGTGAGCTAAATCAATTACCAGTCATCATCGCTGCGCATTACGGCGAGGATAGTCTCGTAAGATGTGTGGTAGTTTTGACGTTATGTATAGATCCTGAAGTTATTTCTCCTGCTCCTAGGTATTGACTTGTGTAAGGCAATGGTCTGCAGGTTAGATTATGCTGTGTGAAGTCTTGGTACGAGAATTGCGTGTGCATGCGCTTGGACCATGATTCCCGGTCGGTCAAATCATTAGTCTCAATGTCAGTGATTTTGTTGGCATGTATGTAGTTGCAAAGATATTCTGTGGGTAGCACTAACATGTTTGGTAATGGTAAAGATGGCTGCATTTGTGACTGATGATGAGCATCGCATACAAATCATCGCGTACAGGTCAGCCTGTTAAAAGCGTACTCCATACAACCATGTCTTTTACTGATGCTATATGCGGTATTCCTAATACCTAGTTGCCACAGTGTCGGATCTATCAGCCGAGACACTGAATCACGCTACGACTGAGCGTTTTGGGCATACTCACTGATGTACGCAGTGCGCTGCTGTAACAACGTAGTAATGGTTGACCAGGGCTCCACCACACTGCTGACGGGAGATCTTGATATGGGCCTGAAATATATTGTCACGAGGACGAGGTTGTGAGAAAACAGTAATGAAAAAAAAAAGCCCTTATGAGGCCATACTTATGTCTTCTCTCTCCTTGTTCTCCCCTCCCCTCAAAAACAAGCAACGCTCAACTCACATCGAGGACACACACAGGCTAATGTCGTGGGTAGTCGCATCGTAACCAAACACTCAAGCCCGTAAGATATATGCAAGGAAATCGTAAAAAAAAGAATCGAAAATTTCCCGCTTGTAGCCTGCAAACCACAGGAAAATCTATATACGCATTTCCATACGCCTTCCAGTTGTCGATTAATTCACCCTCGCGCTGCGAACTGCTACCTTTATAGTTAGCTCAAGTGGTAGAGCGACCGCCCAGGGAACGGTTACGGCTTTGAGTAAAAGGCGTTGGTCCTGGGTTTGATTTCCAAACAAGGAAGAATTTCTTTATCTCTCTCTGTCTCTCGAAGAAGCTAGATTTCTTTGTGGCCTATTGTTACAAAAGGTTGATTGTCGATTTCCTTTTCCTAACCTTTCGGCCACCATTTCAGATTTAACAGAAGGTACCAAGAATCCATTTCTGGTGGTTGGCGAAGTCCATCCTCGAAGAAACATAATAATGCCACACACCTTTTTTAAAGAACGAAACAAAACTTCTGTATTTTTACAAGTACGCTTTGCCACTTGACAGTATTGTATTGCGGCAGAGCTGACATAGTTTTTCTTATTCTTGAGATGGCTGTTAATATTTTGTTTCAATTTCCAACGACATAATATTTTTCCATTTTTGCTTATAACTTCAAGGGCATGCAAAGCTAAAAAACAGGTAAAATTTCGCTGCAGAACGCACAACTTATGACAAGCTATCGATATCGAATTGGCCTAACACTTTGGTTTGACCATGCATTTCCACGAAGAAACCAAGGACTTGTCAAAATGACTGAACGGAGAAGTTGGCGATGCACGGTTATTATTGCGATAGCAATTATATAACAGTCTCGGCTGGCTTTTGCCATCGCCGCAGCTGCTGCTGCCGTCATTCAAGTATAATATATATATATATATATATATATATATATATATATATATATATATATATATATATATATATATATATATATATATATATATGAGATATGGCACAACGGGAGCGTTGTCAACAAGAATAAATATATTTATTTCCCAACAGTTTCGGGAGGGGTCCTCCCTTCATCATGGGATGAGTTATACTGACATGAGCTTCCAAACTTCGTTGCTGCCGCGTCCCTCTCGCCTTGAAACATGTTTGCGAGAGTGAGAGGAAACTAGAAAAAGGAAAAAAAAGGAAGGAGAAAAAAGACGAAAAAGAAAAAGAAGGAAAAGAAAGAAAGTAAAAAAGAGGAAGAACCACTGTCAACACTGAGAACGAAGCCAACTGTCCGTCTACATCCACATACAGTTCATATCACGTGCTGTTCAGTTCTTTACGTGTGTCGGGCCACCCAAGATTGCCGCCGCGGTGCCGGGAGGGTCCGTGACGGCGTGCATAAAGAAAGGGGTTTCCCCGTAATGGGTCGGTCGGCGGGCGGCGTGCGTAAAGGAAGGAATTCCCGTTAATGGGTCGGTCGGCTATTTACCTTTAAGCAACGAAGTTTGGAAGCTCATGTCAGTATAACTCATCCGCTGATGAAGGGAGGACCCCTCCCGAAACTGTTGGGAAATAAATATATTTATCCTTGTTGACAATGCTCCCGTTGTGCCATATCTCATAATCTCATACCTTCACGAAGACTAACTGGCCCATTGAATTATTACTCCCACTGACATATATATATATATATATATATATATATATATATATATATATATATATATATATATATATAATAAGGAGAGAAGTGTATAGTTTTACACAATAATAATGAGATCTACAAGACAATAATGCCAAGGAAAGTATAGGGGAAGATATTGGACCAAATTGTAATGTAAATATGAAGAAAAGTGGGTGAAAAGATAACTAGCCGTGGGCAGGATATATATATATATATATATATATATATATATATATATATATATATATATATATATATATATATATATATATATATATATATTGTGGTGAAGCCTTCGAACAGTGGGTCGTCCTCTCCAGCGCCTTCTAGTGGGTTGCCCTTTTTAGCAAGAAGAAGAGCAGCTCGTGCAGAGAGTCGGTACCCGCATTGACTGTCACTGTCAAGCATTGTCGACAACCGTCCGCCAATAAACGTCTCAACAATTTGGTGGAGGTGCTGGGCCCTTCTAACACCTTCGGTTAGCATTTGATGCCCCTGGAGCTACGATCCCGTACCGTGCCTTCTACCATGCACCAAGACGCCGCACAGCAAACGCTTCCTCCTGCGCCGACGCCATGTTCCGGTGTTCCCCGCATCCGGGACCCTCCTGTCTTCACCGGCGCGGATGGCACCGACGTCGAGGACTGGCTTGCTATGTACGAACGCGTCAGCGTCCCCAATCATTGGGACGAGGCAGGAAAACTCGGCAACCTGGTTTTCTACCTCGCGCGTGTGGCCGGCATGTGGTACAACAACCACGCATCCAATTTCCCCACTTGGTCCGCTTTTAAAACCGCCGTCGTCGACGTGTTCGGCCGTCCTGCCGTTCGTAAGCTCCAAGCCGAACAGCGGTTACGTGAACGAGCACAGCAGACCGGTGAGTCCTTCACAAGCTACATAGAGGACATTCTTGACTTGTGCAAGAAAGTGGACGCGAGCATGTCAGAGGCCGACAGAATTACCCATGTTCTAAAAGGCATCGCCAACGATGCCTTCACCATGCTCCTGGCCAAGAACCCTCGCACTGTGGCAGAGATCATTACACTTTGCCAAAGTTACGAGGAGCTGCGACGGCAGCGCTCGATGACCCGTCGACCACCCTCACGTGACGCTGATCTCTCGGCCTTGTCAACACTTCCGGACCACACCGCCTTGCTTGCTGAAATCAAGTCATTCGTGCGTGAAGAAGTTGCCCGCCAGGTCTCTTTACTGGCCTTTGCTTCCCCGCAACGTGCTCAACAGTCGTCAAGCACACTTCTGCCTCCCCTACGCCGAGCCATTCAGCAGGAAATCGCGGAGGTCGTTCCAGAATATCACCAGCCGCCTCCAGTATCTACACCACTCAGTTACGCCCAAGTTGTCGCCAGGCCACCCCCACCGATTCCTGTGACTGGCCCTCTTGGTTACACCGAAACCATCGCCAGACCCCAGGCCTTCGGAGAAACTGTGCCGCCTACATATACCGACGTCATCCACGTGCCCCGTGTGCCGCCCACTATGCAGTTATATCAGCAGCCGGCTCGCCCATCGCGTTCTTCGACATGGATGGGACCCGCGAACCGATGGCGCACTGCGGACAATCACCCCATCTGCTTTGCTTGTGGTTGCGTCGGGCACGTAGCACGCTACTGCAATCGTGTGCAGCGACCGCAAGTCGCCTCCAATTTTCCCAGCCAATCGAGCCGCTTTTATGACCAACCGCCACCTACGTCACCGTCGTCCCGCCCCGCTCCATCTACCCGCCGCTCACATTCTCCGCGACGTCGCTCACTGTCGCCGATGCGGCCATGTCCACTAGAGGGTGACCAGGAAAACTAGTCGTCGCAGTCCACGAGGCAAGGGCTGCGACGCTGTCGAACTGCGGAAGCCCTCAGGAAAGACCATCGAACGTCATAGACGTGCTTGTGGATGGTGTTCGTGCATCTGCCCTTGTAGATACTGGAGCCGCCGTATCCGTGATGGACGCAAAGCTTAGCCGATTACTGCGCAAAGTGACCACGCCACTTTCCGGGCTCTCCCTCCGTACAGCCAGCGCCCAAAGCATTCACCCTACAGCGATGTGTACAGCCCGCCTCATGATTCAGGACGTGATGTATGCCGTTGAATTCATCATAATTCCTTCATGTTCTCACGACGTCATCCTAGGATGGGATTTTCTCTCCCGCCACGACGCCGTCATTCATTGCGCACCAGCAGAACTAGAGCTAACACCATTCTCTTCTTTGACGCCGGCCGACAGTCCATCTACTGCAAGCAAATTACTCGTCAGGGACGACACGCAAGTGCCTGCAAACTCGTCCACGGCGGTGTCGGCGTACTGTGCAAGTCTTTCAGACACCGCTGCACTTCTCTCACCATTTCATCGTGTTTTCACCAGAAAAGGTTTGCTGGTTCCTTTCGCGACCGTGCAGGTAACTCGCGGCAGCACCACTATTTTTGTTCTGAACTCATCCCCGTACAGTGTTACGTTGGTGCGAGGGGAATGTCTCGGCAGCGTGGAACCCATCGAAGACGCACAAGTCATGGATCAACCTGATGACACGCACTGCCGAAGTTCCAATACGCTTAGTGCTGTTTCTACATCTGTTTCATCATCCGCTGATGTATTTGGTCCTTCCATTGCTGACAACCTTACGCCGGTCCAGCGCTCCCAGCTTCTGGCCCTGTTGGAAGAATTCCGCTCTTCTTTCGATGTCACTCAACCTTCTCTCGGCCGCACATCCACTGTTACGCATCGCATTGACACAGGCGCACAACCACCACTACGGCAGCGTCCATATCGCGTATCTCCCACAGAACGCCGTGTAATCAACGAGCAAGTGGACGACATGCTACGCCGCGATGTTATTCGACCCTCTAACAGCCCCTGGGCATCTCCTGTCGTTCTCATCGCGAAGAAGGACGGTTCTGTGCGGTTCTGTGTGGACTACCGACGTCTCAACAAGATCACTCGTAAGGACGTGTACCCACTACCGCGTGTAGATGACGCGATTGACAGCCTGCAAGGAGCCGAATTTTTTTCATCTCTAGATTTGCGCTCAGGGTACTGGCAAGTACCTATGGCTGAGGACGCTCGACCGAAGACCGCTTTCGTCACTCCCGACGGCTTGTACGAATTTAACGTCATGCCGTTTGGGCTGTGCAATGCGCCTGCCACCTTTGAGCGCATGATGGATACCGTCCTACGTGACCTGA